ATACGGGTCTGATGTTTTTCATTCAGATTCATGACCTCTGTTGACTTCACTGGACAATATATCCGTGAACCCATTAGAAAAGCCATTGGGCTTTTCTCTAGGTTGAAGTCTTCAATGTGCTGATGCCCAACAGCATTTTTGAACTTTGGGACCTGGTATTTTTCAGTGGGTTGAAATCCAAAAAAAGCCCTCAGGTTTTTAAAAGGTTCAAATGGAAGATTCTTTCATCTATATCTTGAAAGGTCTAATAAAGAGAACAGAGAAATAATACTTGACCTATGAACTGAGGAGAACAGAGAACCCTTTTTTCAAGTTTCTTGCACATGCCCTAAAAGCAAACTAGAAAGAAAGTGAGAAAATCTGCTCAGTTCTAATGAGTGCCTAATGGGCAGTAACACCAGAAGTTTATTTTGTGAATGCTTTTGAAAGAAAAAAAAATCCGAGGTTTTTAACCAATAAACTGCTAGCAAATGTGGGTCCTTATTAAGTGTCAGCAGAAGAACTGACCAGTGTTTGAGAATCATGAATGTGGCTTTTTGACTTTGCAAATTATACAAGGATATTTTCTTTGACCTTCCCTTAGTATAGATCTGTACAAATGACACAGCTTTTGTTCAGGCAACCCAGGACCCAGGGTACTGACTGCTTCTGCAAAAACACATCCCACATTAAATTAAGTTAGAGGTGGTATTTCAAAAATAAATAAAGAACGGAGTTCCAATTCACTGCAAATGGTACAGGAGGCCAGAAAGTGGGAAGCCTGCAAGAGAAGGACTTCTTTTACAAAGATGTTTTACAGGACTTTTTCTGCATCATTAACTCTTCTGGAATCCTGAACATAACATGATGAATTTCCCTAAAAAAAAGTAGCTACTGTTTAATTTTGAATCACTTCAAAGAGCCACAGTAGAAGGAATCAAAGAAAACCAAAAAGACCAGGAGATGTGAAATTTGCCAGGGGAAAAAAAAATCTAACAGATTTTGACCATGTACTGAAAATACCGCTGATTATTTTGCTAATACAGTGTTTTACTGTTCCATGCAACTGAAGTAAGTCTCTGTATTCATCAGAACACAGGATATTTTTATTACAATATTTGTGTCATAGCTCTTTAAAAAGGAACATATATAAAACCTTGAAAAGAATTTCTGTCTTAAAACAGTTCTTGATGTGTGCATGTGAGTGTGTGCTTTTACTATAAACACATATAATTAGAGGTCAAATTGCTGAAGGAAGAAAAAGATATTGATAGTATTATTCCGATCCCAATACATATATCTAGAAGACATATATAACTTTGAATAGGTAAAGCAACAATGTGGAGGGTGGCTGAGATAACATATCTGTTGTTTAACTTGAATAACAATAATAATAATAATTGATCTTTTAGTATTTTGCATAAAACCTGCTCTCGTGAGGATAAAAGAAAGAACATCTATGTCTGAGTTCCAAATCCCTTAAATACCACTACATCAAAACCCATCTGGAAAAGGTCAGATAATGGTATCCACACATCTAAGAAATTCAGTAAACTTTGTCTTCAATTGCCATTCAGAATAATCAGTTGAAATTGGAATTTTGATTCAGAAACCCTCAGAAGACAAAGCTGGATTAAGAATAAGATGTTAAAAGCCTCCTTAAAAGACCATCTGTTTATTGACACCGTTCCTTCACCCCACCTTGCCCTTGATCTGTACCAGAAGTTCACACTAGAGGCAGAGTGATTTTTAAAGACATACCAGCACTGCTTCTATGAAGTCTCTCCTTACCGTACGTATGGTTTATACACATGCTCTAAGCTTGTCTCAAGTTTCCCTTGTTATGTAAGCACTTAAGTAATGCAATTTACTTATATTCAGCATCTTTGTGAGTCTCAAAACATGACTGTACCTTACCCTACAATCCATTTATTGGCAGTGGAGAGCACTGGAGTTTTATTTATGGTGATCATATTGCTGATTATATATGGAATAGTCATTTACTAGACAGTCTATCATGCTTTTATTACTGCTGTTAAATATCATTGCCCATACTGAGCCACGGATTAGAAAAATCAAGTTCAAAATTCTAACTATTCAGAAGGAGCAAGAGAACAGTTTTGCCTTTCCTAAGCACATACACAATCTGCAGACTCTGATGAGGAGGAAAAACAATGAGTATTCACTTCTCACAGATAGAGGTCACTAATGGACTGAATTTGAATCAGTGTGGCAGAAACCACAAAGTTATTAAAGTAATCTGGTGAAAAAAGAACTGAATTGAAATTAAAGATACCAAAAGATGATTATCCAGAAAAGTCTGACTTGAGTAGAAATAAATGACATCACCTTGACCTTTTTTGGTATCTTCTACACAGAGGAAAAACCAAGAGTGGCTCATCACCCTTGATTTTCTTCTTCTTTTTTTTTTTGTTCCATAAACTTGACACTCTGCTGAAGTCAGAAGCAGCACTTTTGCTCTGTGGAGTATAAAATTGAAAAATCCAACTACACAGGATGGTCACAATGGGTCTCTACAGAATAAGGCTTGGGGACTTGCATGTACTTAAGCCTCTTTTGAAACCACAGCTTCAAACTGGAAAGCAAGACTGCTGCTTGGGGAAAATACGTTGAACTCCTAAATCAAACTCTCCAGTGGCCAGAATATAAGTGAAACCGGCATCAGAGGCAGTTCAAATTAGATCCAGCAGGTCAAAGTCAAACTCAGAAAAGATCACACCGTCTAAAATCGAGCCTGCAGGTAAAACCAGGACTACCTCAAGGTTTCCAATGTGGAGTCCTTTGGGAATCTGCTTTTTTTTTTTTTTTCAGTTAAAGGCATCTCCTGGAATTTCTAAAACTACAATGAAAAATACTGAAGTATTAAAACATGTGCATTAAAAGAAGAAAAAAAATAGCATTCTTTTCAGGCTAGGTTTGTAAAAAGGTCCTGGTATAGCAGACTCACCCAGTTCTTTCCAGTTTTTCGTACCTACTAACAGTTTTTGAAATTTTATCTTTCAGCCTTTCAGTCCCAGACACTGGCAACTCAACATGATAGTACTGTGCTGCATTGTCATCCCTGTTTAGTCAAGATCCTTAAATCCTTCAACCTTCCTCTTTGAGACTTTTGAGTAAAGGAGGAAGGAAAGTTGTACTAGGGAGAACTATGAACTGCAGAGAAAAGAAAAAACAACTTTGCATGGTATATATGTTATACCCCGAACCCCAATGCATTTCCTTTTAACATGGTAGTCTATGGAACATATATATCTGCTGCCTATTCCTATTGAATAGTAATATTTAAAGTTCAATTGTAATATTGGAGATGCTGGCCTCAAAAATTACATCCATACAATAACCAAGTATATCTCTGGACAAATGCCAATCTGCAGTCTGTTTCCCTCAAAACGTTTAGGGAATCCTTTTATTCGAGATTTCATAATATCATACAGCTTAAATCCACAAATAATATCGGCCCGATTATGGAAGCTACCCTTCCTATTACCTTTTGGCTGGGCGAAGTTAGACATAATAAATTTAGCAATAAGCCAGCGAGCCAGTGGACATGCCCCAAAGCTCCCTGAAACCCTGGGTGATTAAAGAGCCTCCCAGCTGAGTGGGGAGCAAAAGCTCCCATTTGCAAGAGGCTTTGCATAGCAAATGCAGCATGTAAAGAAATCTAATCAGCCCCTTGCACTTGGCGTGAGCATTTACACGGATTTGTGCCTTGCACTTGATTAGCTTACTGTAAGCTTTACAAGAGATTCCTTCCACTAAAAATCAATCAAAAGCTCTTGGAGTCTTCCATTTACAAGAGAAGGCACGATGAGTTTCCAGGTGAATAAATAATGGTCATAATAAAGATGAGACGACAGAGTAGCAACAAACGCTGGGTAGGCTTCAAAACTTAAAACTCTACCAGGGGAAAGGGGGCTCAAGGGAGTTGGGGTTTAAGCCTTCATTCACTTAGAATGCAAAGCGGGAGCGATTTTTCTGAGCCCAAGAAAGGGTGCTATGAAGAAACCTGAAGGCTGTTTCTCCCAATTGCCCTGGCCTCAGCTCACAGGACACCCCCACACCACCCACTCTCCCAGCACCTACGCGCATAAGGCCACAGAGGGGAAATAATGCCTCTCTACAATACCACTAAAAACCCATACACCCTAACACACACGCACACACACACACACACATACACACACACACAGCAAATCCATGTCACCAAGGGCTAACGCTTTCCATGTCACCCTTCCATCAAAATGTGACTTCTAAAGTTCCTCTATTCTGACGCCAGAAGGTGAGTGGAGGAAGCGCTGACTCCTGAGATGTCAAAAGGAGGAAGAAGAATGTGTTTTTTTTTCCTCTCGAAATGTTCACGCACACACACGCGCGCACAACCGCGCACACACGAGCACCCACATGGGCTTTGCCTGCAGCAGCCAAACGGAGTGGGCGCACGGGAGCGGGTTCGAATTGCTTTTAAAAGGCGCTACAGAAAGGTGCAAGATCGAGCGGCTGGTTGCGGGGGGAGGCGGGGGGAGGGACGGGGGGAGGAGGAGGCGAATGAAATCCACGCATCACTTCCCCGGACTGAGCAGTACGAAAAGTCCCCGATATCCACATTAAAAATGACAACGGATCACCCACGGAGCTGGCGACGGGAACTGGCGTGGGGGTGTGGGGAGGGCTCCCACACTGCCAGGGGAGATTCGCACCCCCACCCCCACCCACCCTCGCGCCCACCCGGCTACGGGCGGGCAGAGTCTTTCTCCCCAGAGCCTTTCTCCCCAGGGCTGTAGGTCTATCAGAGTTAGGGACCCAGCCCTGGAACCCTGAACTTCACCTCCCAGGTAGTTTCCGCCCCAAGCCACCGGCGCGGGGATGCAGCCGGAACCTGACGGAGGTGTGTGTGTGTGTGTGTGTGTGTGTGTGTGTGTGTGTGTGTGTGTGTGTGCGCGCGCGCGCGCGCGGGGGGGGGGATCTCCCCCCACCCCACCAAAGCCGGGGATGCGCTTTACCTGCGAAGGTGGTCCGGGTGTCCTCGCAGCCCTGCCGGTAATCCCGCTCAGCGCCGCGTTGTGCCCCACGCCCAAACTTTTGCCGGGAGGAGCCGCGGGTGGCGGCGGCGGCGGCGGCGGGGCCGGGGGGCGCCCGCAGCAGCGTCGGGGCGCGGGGGTGCGGAGGCCGGAGCCCGCAGCCGCCCCGCTCGCCTGCCTCGCTCTGGCCGGCCTCCCCTACGGAGCCGCGGCATCCTCGTCTACCCCCGTCCGCCGCCACCTCCGCCTCCAGGACTCGGGCATGCCACTTTCTCCGGGCTCCGGCCGCCGCGGCCCCCGCGTCTGCTTCCCGGTCTCCGCCGAGCTCAAGGGGTCCCAGGAGAGTGACGAGGGCGGGGGAGGGGAAGGAGAGGGGAAGAAAAAAAAAAGAAGAAAGAAAAAAAAAGGTAAAAAAAAGCGGAGAGGGGGTTGGAGAGCGAGCGGGGAAGGCGTTGGAAAGCGTCCCCGGTCCCTCGGTGCAAGGAGGAAGGAGGATGCCCGGGAGGAGAGCCGGGTGCCCACCCCCCGACGCCGGGGCTCTGGGCGCGGGGTTCGCTCCGCGTGGGTCCCGCGACTGCGGCGGCGGCCGCTCTGCTGCCCGGGTCCGACCGGCCCGGCTAATGTAGGCGCCGCGGCCCCCGCCCCCACCCCCCAGGGAGATGTTTACTGGGATGAAGTGGCGGGATCGCCCGCGCCGCTCCCGCGCTCCTCCTCGGCCCGGGTCCCCGGCGCTCTGGCGCGCTCCCCGGCTCGAGTTCTCTTTCTCTCTCCCTCCCGCCCCGAGTCCCTCCCACATTTCTGCTTTAAAGAATGCTCGGGAGGCGCGGCTGCAACCCAAAGCTTTCCAAGAGGCCAAGTCAGACTCAGCGTTTAACCCTGTGCTCCCCGCGAGTGGTTTGCGGAGCTCCGGGGCGCGCAAAGGCACGGACGCCACCGCCACCCGTGCCTTGGCTTGGCACCCTGTCCCGTGCCAGACCCCCAGCCCAAGCCCCCCCACACCCACCACAACTCTTCGGGATAATGCCACATTTTGAACGCTGAAACAAACAAACAGGCCAAAAAAAAAAAAAAAAAAGGATGCCCCACCCCGCCTACCCGGACTGGTACTTCCAGGCCAGAGTATCGATGCCTTAGACACGGAGAAATGATGGAAACGGGAGATTAGAGGGTGCAAATATAACGTTTCTCAGCCAAGATGGCGTTATTGCAAATGGCAGGCAACCTTGGTGATCCTCACCCCTCACCCTCATCCATTCCCCAGCCTCATCACCAGCTCTCTGAGCCCAGACCTTTCACAGCCATGGAATTGGGGAAAACCATGCAAAGTTGAAGATTATTTTTCAACATCCTATTTTTTCTTTCGTGGTAGGTGCCCCCCCCCCGCCCCCTTCACTGGTAAAAGAACGTTGTTCACTTTCCCCACCGATTACTACAGACCACGAATTGTATCTAAGTCAGAGGTTGAGGGAATGGGGCTTTGACCCCTAAAGAAACCTGATCTCTAAACGGGCGTTTCCAACTCGCAATCTTTCTGCAGAGGTTCAAGAGCGATATAGGCAAACAAAATGTGCACGCCTCTTACAAAATAAATAAGTGAATAAATAAATTAAAAAAAAGAGGCCTCTAGGTTGCTCCTCTTATTTCCCTGCCGCTCCCAGGCTCCAGTAAGTTGCTGTCATGTTTTAACAAGTCTGAAAGGCTGAATATGAACAGAAGAGGGAGAGCGAGCTCGCGCCAAGCGCTCGGCAGCGCTGGGATGTGCCGTCGGAGGGCCACGCGAGAAGCAGCCTGCGAGCTTAGAGCCACCACAGGACCAACTCTCTAGGGATTTGCCGGGCTATCGGGACAGAAACATCGGGCAGGGGCGGTGCCGGTGACCGGCTGGGGATGATTTCCGGACGCGCCCCAGGCGCGACCACATTCCCGATCCTCGCTCAGTCCAATGCCTGAGTCACTTGGCACCACTTCCCTAATTGTTTTTATTTCCTTCGCATCCCCGTTGTGTCTACTGCCTTCCCGTGTTTGAGCGCCTAAGCCATGTTAAAAAGACTTGGAGAAACGCCCGATTTGCCTCCCAAGCACCAGCCACGCACAGATCCGCCCAGACGCACGCTGACACACATGGTCACACGCGCGCGCGCGCGCGCGCGCACACACACACACACACACACACATACACACACACACACATACACACAGATACGCGCACACGACCCGGGTTCCGGCGCGTGGGTCGTTATTCTTGTTGCATGATGCAAACGCGATTAGGAAAATACTTTCACTTACACAGATGCACGCGCTCTTCTTTCCCCAGACTCAGTGTGTGACTAAGAGATAGATGGAGGGAAAAGAGTGCAAAGCGGGGGCAGCCAAGCGGGCTGCAACAGACAGTGCCATCTTGCTGGGACTTTCCAGGAGCAGAGCGCCAGCGAGGACAGCAGCGGTGGTCTCCACCTACCATGAGCTGCCTCCCGGAGAGCCCCAAGAGTTCCACTGCAAGTTCCCCAGCCTGCAAGGATGTGTCCAATCCCCTAACCTCCACACCCCCTCCAGTCACCTTCTTCCCGATCCTTCCTTTCCCTAGTTTGTATCCCGACCTCAGCGGGCAACCTTGATCTTGGGTCTGATTGCAAATGAGAAGTGACCGCGCCGGCATTCCAAGCGCCGGAGCGAGCCCTGGATGATGAGCACAGAGAAAGAATCTTTCCAGGAGGCTTTGAGCCTTCCCTAGCCACGGTGGCAGCTGGCGGGGCGCTTGTGTTGCCCTCTACCCAGTCGCCTGGTTCCTACACTCAGATCTGGGGGTAGCGGAGGCGGGTTTTCCCGCCCCCTCACCGCGTCCCACGCACGCAGCGCAGAGTGCGACGTAACCCCAGTTCTAGTGGAAGGACGCCCGCGCTTTCTTCACCCCAACTGGGAGCGCCAGAAAAACTCGCTAGCTGGGGCTCAGTGCCCGGCCAGTGAGGGCTCACAAGGCTGGAGAGGGTTGGTTTGGAGTAAAACCACCACCTTCTCTGACTCCAAGAGCCACATCTTTCGGGCCACTAGTCAATTCCGCTTGCGAGCAGGGGGGTGGGCTGGTCGGGCGCACGCACTTGATAATAACGCTGATGACATGAATGGCAGATGGAGCCGGCTCTGGGAGGCGAGAGTGGTGGGAGCCTTTTTACCTCCAAGTTAGCTAATTCATTCGGGGGAGGAGAGAGGCTGGACTCCGGCAAGCATCAGACGCTTAGAAGCCCCAATTTTAGGATCGACGTAGCCAGCAGGCTGGCAAATTCACCTATTGACCTAAAATTTAGCTCCAAAACTCCCTGAGGAGGCGGGTTCGACCTACGCCTAGACCTCCCTTCAGGGGAGCTAAGCAGCCCGTTTGCTCCCGGGATGCAAGAGTTTAAAATAACCCACCCGGGCGACCGTCCCCAACGGCTTCAACACCCATCCCCTGTCCCTTGCAAGACACCGCGTGGAGCCGGTCAAGCCGCGGCTCTGGCGGTGACCCGCAGCTCCGCCGGGTCCCCGATGATCGCCTTTACCTGGCAGCCACGACTCCTCCAAGCTGGCTCATCCGAATCCGACCGGGTCTGGGAGGTGGAAAGGGAAGAAGCTGGCGCGGCAGCAGCTGGGCTCCCGGGGCATGGTATTATTTTAGGGGTCGCCGCCGAGGTCCCTCCTGCCCATCGTTGAGAAGTGCCAACCTGGTTCCTGAGCTGAGTAGACAGGGCGCGGAGCTGTCCCCCTCGCTGCCGCACGATTCCCCCAAAAGCCGAGAGGTGAAGAACGCGCCCCCGGGCAGGATCCGAACTGCACCTGGGCGCGGAGATCGCGGCCACCGAGCTTCCCCTCCGAGCGCGCCTTCGACTGCGGCGACAATGGGAGATGCCCAACTTCCAAGTGGAGGCGACAGGTTTTGAACGTGGAACTAACTCCAAGGTACCCAGCCCGGAGACTGGATGCAGCCGTCCCACCCCCTCCTCTTTTCCTCTCCCTCCCGCCCTGGGAGGGAACTAACTTAACCCTGTGTGCGCGCTCTCCCCTCTCTGGAGAAGCTGGAACCAACTAGGAAACCGCAGGCGGCGGCTCCCGGGGCCAACGCTTTGTTCACGTGCGTTTCCAGGGGGGGCGTGTTGCTGTCTGGGGGCACTCGCGTGGCCAGATGCCAGTGGCAGGATTCCAGCGCCAGACTCCGGCATGCGAAGGAGTCCTAGCGTTTCATCCGGACCAGACCCAACCCTCGGAATCTATTTTTCTTTTCTTTTTTTTTGCCTCCAGTTACCAGATTTATTGAAGTTGCCAGCGAAGTTGGGTTTTATTCCTTTATTTCTTTCCTCCCCCCCCCCCCCCAATCCCCCACCCTTCCAGCCCGTCGTATTATTTCCTTTCCGAGCGGGGCTTTGAAGATGTGGAACTCGCCGCTCAGGCGAACTCTTGGCTTTTAACTGAGCTTTGCGTGTGCGAGACGAATTAGAGCGGGCACCCACCCACCCACCCACGCCACATTTAAATGAAACCACCGGGAAAGCTGCCCACACACGCACCCAAGTGCCCACAGCGGCCACATGGCTACGTATTGAAATAAGTGCAAGACACAGGAAGGTGGAGTAGGGAATTCAAGGGGCTCGGGAATGTAAATCGATCAGGGTGGGGGCGGGGTAGACCGACGCACACGGAGACCGAGAACAACTTGCAAGGAAACAAACAGGAGAACGCAAGAATGACGAAGCAGAAAATAGAGCGAGTCCAGACATTGACGCAGATTTAGTTTTTATGTGCCTAGATTTTTATCACAGTTTCTTCCAGCTCCCTTTGAACGCGATGCAGTGCAGTGTCCTGGAGTCTCTGCTTAAGCTACCCAGACGCTCTGCATTTTATTAACCGATGAGGCTTCCACTAAGAGTTTTTGGACTCCACAGCAGTTAACCGGGAGTCGGGAGCGAGTCATTTGGCGGCAGCGGAGTGGAAGTTGGGGACAGGAGAAAGCTAAGAGCAAGAAGCTTGCTGTCCGAGTTGCACACCTATAAAAGCCAACAGCGGACACCCGCGCATCTTCAATAGATTCCTTCTCTCTCCGTCTCCAGTCCGCGTCATAGAGTGAAATAACAGGTGGATCCTGCTGGAAATATATTTTTCAAAGAGAAAAATGTGTGTCGCCCCCGAATAGATGCTGTTCTTCTTTCTTTCTGCAACACGCCCAAGCCATTGGGGACCGGTAATAGCCGTTTCAAATGCCTCCCGGA